TAGGCAGAGAGGCAGATAGAGAGAGAGGAGGAAGCAGGCTCTCCGCTGAGCAGAGAGCCCAATGCAGGGCTTGATCCCAGGACCCACAGATCATGACCTGAGCTGAAGGCAGAGGCTCTAACCCACTGAACCACCCAGGCGCCCCTATTTTTTGAAATAGTTTAAGGAGAGTACATATGAACCCTTCCTTAAATGTGTGGTAAAATCCACCTTGCAATCTATCTGATCCTGGACTTTGATTTTTTAAAAAACAGAATCTTTATTTTAGAGTCCAAATCTTTGGAACCATATGGACAGCTCACAGTTTCTGCTGATTTTAGAAACACTAAACTAAACTAAACTAAGACTTTGTAGTTCTAACTTTGGTTTTGGGGATTGAGGAAAGAAACTATTTGCTATTGCTCTGTTCTATATCCTGCCACTGAAATAATTATTCAGAAAAGTCCAACTCTCTTATCTTCAGGAATCTCTTTGCCACTTGATTTTATACATGAGAGAAGCCCAAAGAGACAAAATTAGAGACATGTAATGCATATGTACTAGCATAAAGCTTTTATTATCTTTTCCTAAATAATAATCCTCTCACTATTATCTTTGTCTTTTGAAACTACAAATTTGGCATCCCACCATCCCATAGTATAACTCTCCCATAAATAACTATAAAACTTTGAAAGAGTATGGAGTTATAAACGCAAACCAAACAGAACATGTTTAAAAGTAAGCAGGATTTAATGAGGTTTTTTTAAAACACAGATATAAATGGTTTTATTGCTCATTACAGCAACAAACATCCCAGTTATAAAATAGGAAATGTTTATTTGAGGAGATATTACTTAATATATCCATATATCATCTGGTGCAGAATCTATGAAAAGAATGCTTTTGAAGAAAACGTCCGGGAAACCCCCACTTTCTAAAGGTTACCTAAATATAAGCTATAGTGGTACTTAGAAGTGGTTATAAATGGTATACATCCTAATCCCATATACAGTAATAAAAGAAATCTACTCCTAGGTATAAACCCAAAAGAAATGAAAACATATGTTCACACAAAAACTTGTACATGAATGTTCAGAGCAACATTATTCATAATAGGCAAAAGATGGAAACAACTAAAATTGGTATATGGACAAAGAAAATGTGGTAAATCCACACAACAGAATAATATTTGGCTGTAAAAAGGGATGAAATACTGAAGTATAATAGAACATGAAATAGAACATAATAGGATATAGTAGACTATAGTAGAAATATAATAGAACATTGAAAATATTATGCCAAATTAAAAAAACTGGTTAGGAGTGCCTGGGTAGCTCAGGGGGTTAAGCCTCTACCTTCGGCTCAGGTCATGATCTCAGGTTCCTGGGATCAAGCCCTGCATCGGGCTCTCTGTTCAGTGGGGAGCCTGCTTCCTCCCATCTCTCTCTGCCTACTTGTGATCTCTGTCTGTCAAATAAATAAATAAAATCTTAAAAAAAAAAAAAAAACTGGTTACAAAAACCACATATGGTGATATGAAATGTCCAGAATAGGAAAATCTATAGAGACATTATTACACAGATTAGTGATAGCTTAGGGTTGGGACAGGGGGGCTATGGAAAGACAGGAGACTGACAGTGAAAAGTATAGTTTCTTCTTAAAGTGGTAAAAATGTTCCAAAATTGGTTGTAGCAAGGGTTACACTTACCTGTGAATATACTAAAAATTATTCAAATATACACTTTAAGCAGATACGTGAATTATATTTCAATAAAGCTATAAGGATAGGAACTAATAAACAAACTTAACCGAAATAAAGCACTGTCTTAATTGCATCTCTCCTCTATTGAGAGGCCTCTCAGCACTAAGGTACTTAAAATGTGTTTAAAACTTCTATTTGCATTCTACCCTGAGAATGAAAGGAAGTCATTTTCAATGTGTGTGAGCCTCTGAATACACTATTGCCAGAATTAGATTGAAAACTGACAGCGGTATGATTGGTAGAACCAGACAGACACTCGCACAGATAACAACTATAAATCTAGACAAAACACACAAAAAAGTACTTGAAGACCCTGGAAAGGAAACAAAAGCCGGCCAACTCTGGAGGGGTGTGGAGTCTTGGAAGGAAAGGGTGGCAAAGATGAACTTCAGTTTTGTCCAGCTCTAGCCTGAGAGCTGGCCACAGTTAGTACAATGTGGGCACAGGCTGACTAAAACTCTAATAGAAAACCAAACTGAGGGTTTTGGAGGGGAGGGGTGGTGGGGAGTTGGATGAGCCTGGTGGTGGGTATTATGGGGGGCACGTATTGCATGGAGCACTGGGTGTGATGCATGAACAATGAATCTTGGAACACTGAAAAAATAAAATAAAGTTAAAAAAAAAAAAGAAAAACTGGAATCTGCTGCGCCGAGCCAATTTCTCTCTAAAAAAAAAAAAAAAAAAAACTTATTTATTTATTAGAGAGGAGGAGGGCACAGGAGGGGGTGGGCTCGAAGAGGAAAGGCAGTAGGAGAGGAAGAAGCATGCTCCCTGCTGAGCAGGGAGCCTGACTGGGGGCTCAGTGGCAGGGGTGGGGTGGTAGAGCTCAATGGGGGCTTATTGGGGCGCTGGATAGAGGGCTCCATCCCAGGACCCTGGGATCTGACCTGAGTCAAAGGCAGACGCTCAACTGACAGAGCCTACCTAGGCACCCCTCTCTGTCTTCTTATCACCCTCTGACTTCTGAAGTGTCTCTCCTCTCTTGGCGGCTGCGAAACCCAGCATTTCCAGGTTCTTTTCTTCTTGTCTGACCATTCTTCCTGTATCCCTTACTTCCTCCTCTCTTTATCTTCCCCCTTAAATACTCCAAGGCCTTTGCCCTCAGCTTTTCTTTTTTTCTTTCTTTTTTTTTTTTTTTTAAGATTTTATTTATTTATTTGACAGAGAGATCACAAGTAGGCAGAGAGGCAGGCAGAGAGAGAGGGGGAAGCAGGCTCTCTGCGGAGCAGAGAGCCCGATGTGGGGCTCGATCCCAGGACTCTGGGATCATGACCTGAGCTGAAGGCAGAGGCTTTAACCCACTGAGCCACCCAGGCGCCCCTGCCCTCAGCTTTTCATCAGGACACATCCTCTTTCCGGTTCATCTACTTCTCCTGCTTCAACTGCCAGTCAGACTCCCACCTTCGTAACTGAAGTCAGGACTCCCTTCTGAGCTCCCTTTCTGGATACTTCCAGCTTCAGGTTAATAACAGTGCAGTGGGGGTTAAGTTCTAAAGTGAGCACAGAAGCCAAAAATCATATAGAGTTGCAATTTCCCTTGAAATTTCCTTAGAAAAGCAACATGTTCCTATATTCCTACATTCATTTCTTGGTCCTGTCTGTACTGTTGAATTTGCCCAAGATGAATGCACCCGGACTATGATGCCACCGTATTTTGTTGTCCCCCAAGTATCTCTGAGTTAACATGACCAAACTCAACTTCCAACCTGCCCTCCATCTATGTGCACCCCACTCCTCCACCTTTATTTCCCACGTTAACAGATGGCGCCAAAATCACCCTGATTTCCTAAGCCAAAATCAAGCAGTTAATATTGATCCCTCTTCTTCACACCAAAATCTAGTCAGTCTTGATTTCTGTTGATTTTAACGCACCAAATGCCTTAATGCTAACGTAATGCTAACAAATGCTAATGTAAGCACAGCCAGAGCCTCGAAAAAGCCACCTCCAGTCCTTTCTGCCTCCAGTCCTCTGCAGTGCATCTAGGTCTACTGTCTTCTACAAATGCAAATTTGATCAGATTTCTCCCCACTTGGAAAGATCCTCCAATGGTAAACTACCACCCATGGCAATGGTTTTCAAGCATTTTTGTAGCAGATACATACTATTTTCAAAGAAATATCGGATAAGATCCTAATATCTACAAATAGATACAAGCTGTATTTTATTAGGATTAATTTACTGTATAAGTTGTTAATGTGTGTCATATTAAAAACCAGACACTGAGAAAATAATAGGTAGTTTTGGTGAAATAAAAAATTCAAGATTGTTGGTAAGCAATTTGATCAGAATCATCTTGGTATTTATTTCTCTATTTCACTTGCCTACATGTGATCAAAAAAATCCGAATTCATAGCAATAGGTAGCTACTAAAGGTAATATTTTGGATTTCCGCCTCCAATCGTTCGCCTTTTAAGTTTAACACATTGTTTATTTAAAAAGATAGCAAGATCCAAATACAAATGAATTAATCTGTCAGCACAAATTATTTGGTCGCTTGTCTCCACTTGGTTAAAACTTTTAGTTTGAGCATGTGTTTAAGATTTATTTTGTAGAATTGTAAGTCAAAAGGTTGAAACTCCTCCCCTGAAACTTGTTCCCGTAGATTAGAGTTTGAAAACCAATAATCCAGGTGTTGAAGCCCAATTTCCTTAGGACAACATGCAAGGTCCTGTGTCATTCGGATTTTATCTATCAATCTAGCTGCTTTCCCTCCCAGTGCCAAGGTTCCACCCACTATCCTAAGTCTGTCTCCATCTATCACGGCGTCATACTTTGGCATTTGCTGTTTTCTCTGCCAAACTCATGCGTGATTGCCTTCTTACCTGAATTTCTATGAACTATTCCAAAGGTTAAAATGTTAATGCCTCATGAAGGCTTCTTTGTTCCCCAAAGTACCTTGCATATGCCTCGATCATCAACATGTGTTGCCTTAAGTCATAATCACGTCTTCCTCTCAACCATGAGTTCCCATGGAAGACAGACTAATTTAACCATCCCTAAGTTCTCAGGGACTTTCAAAGTGCCTGACACCTGGAAATTACACCTTGAATGCTTTGCATCAATTACTCCATCAATTTCCTATAATAGGAATAACCAGCAGAATGATTTCTGTGGCTGAAACTTCAGAGTTGCCTAAGATAATCAATGGCTAACCCTCCATCAAGTTGACACTTTAGGTTACCTAAGTACTAAATAGAAATCATGGTTAAGCTCATTTGAATTTTGACTTCATTTTTCTCTCACAGCAGCATCACTCACCAACAAAGGAAAGCAGGATCACCAGCAGGACGATGAGTGCACAGATACACGGAATCAACACCAGCAACAGGAAGCGGAGAATATTAGCAGTAGCCGCCTTCTGAGAGCAGCCATCACCCATGTTATTGTCAACAGCTCCCAAGACCTAAAGCAAAAGGAGAAAAGGAAACGTGGTTTTAATATTACAAAGCAACTCAAGAGGCCATATGGAATTTTAGAGTACGGCTGTCCATTCAGAGTAGCAGCAGTCCTGAGAGATTCTGGTGCATGTCCTTGAGGGCATGGAAATGAACTCAGTCACTAAATCATGCTAATAAATGAACAAATAACTGTACAACCGCATTCAGAGCAGAGAAAATCATCTATTTCAGAAATGTTTTTCAGGAGTACATGAACTTTTAAAGTGATTCCACGTTGTTTTTTTTTTTTTTTTTAACATATCTGGCAATTTAGAATTATTCCGAAGGGTTACAAATTACCATGGCCCAGAGCTATAAGCAAAGACAGCCTAGTACCATGGTTACATATTGGTGAGTAGGTGTAGACAGGACATTACGCAGACTTCATTGCTGTTTGTCTCACCAGTCCTAACGCAACTCTGCATGAATCTGGATAAAATGAATTTTCAGCCATTCAGCAAGGTTAAATGTATTTAGTGACTGAAGTTGAACACTGAAAAAGAGCCTGTCTTGTTGACTAGTTAAACACTGACAACCCCTCAGGACACCTTCCACTGTCTACGCTGCCAGTGTAGCCTATCCATCGGTGAGTGGATTATGAGATGCAGTCGAAGGGGTTCAGAGAAAAGTTCTTATCTGCAAAGACTTGAAATTTCGCTAATTTAAATTTAAATTAAATACTTTAATTTTTAGTTCCATCTCTTGCCAGAGATGATGTCTGGAAATTCGTTTATTACAAATGGCTAGCTTAGGGCAGTTGACTTTTTCAACAGGAATCCGAAATGAAATTAAAAATTATTTGAGGGGCACCTAGGTGACTCAGTCGGTTTAAGCGGCTGCCTTCAGCTTGGGTCATGATCCTGGGGTCCTGGGATCAAGCCCCATGTCAGGCTCCCTGCACAGTGGGGAGTTTGCCTCTCCCTCTGCTTTTCCCTCTCCCCCCCACCCTCCCTTGCACTCTCTCGCTCTCTTAAATAAATAAATAAAATCTTTTTTTTTTTAAGTGATTTGAATCTCACACTATGAGCAGTTCTTCCAGTCCCACATGAAGGTGCTTCTCATGGTTTTCTCTTAGACTTTTGACACTCCTTGCATTTTCTCCTGTGACAGTTTCAGAGCATGAATAATAACCTCTGCATAACTAACTCCCAAATCTCTCGAGTCCCAAACTTCCTTTCAGATTTTATCATATGTTTCCAATGCCTAGTGCTTAGCCGCATCTCTTCTTAACATGTCCAAAATCAAACTAGTCTTCTCTCTATCCCTACATTTAAACCAGTTCTCCTGATTTCCATATTTTGCTAACAGACATTCTACTACTTCAAGAACCGCAAGACTCTTCACTTCTTCATCATCCCCCCAATGCATTATTCAGGGTTCATTGGTTCTTCCCCTATAACGGATATCTGATTTTGAAAAATGAGTGACCTTTGAGACAGAGCCTTATCATAAACAAGACGTTGTTGGTCCTGCACTTGCTTTTTTATAGCATATTAACAAGTACTTGATAATTTCCCATGGATAAAAAGGCAACTCTGATAGGTTCTTCTGAATTGCAAGGCACATATGATACTCCATTTCTGCTTTATTCTGCCTCTAACAGAATCAATTCTTGTTCACTAACACATATTGCAAGCAGTGTTCACTACATACACTGTGATGTAATGATAGCCTCTGTAATTTTAAGAATACCCAATGAGACATATTATTTGAAAGAACATATGATGTTAGCTTGAGAATGGCTTGATCTCCTAGGTTAATGACTTTACTGACTCATTGCCTCTGCACCTGGTTTAATGCACCAGCCAAGGTGAGATCATTCAGAGTTCATTTACAATTTTATCTGCAAGAAGACATGGCACTGTGATAGAGGAGACCATGAAAAGGATGTGACCACCCATGGCCCATGAGCTGGACCCAGAGAATCAGAGGCTCCTCACTCCCTTGAAATGTCCTTGAAATGTACCACTGTTCCCATAGCCAAAGCCATTTTCAAGAATGCAGCCTTGAGAGAGCAATGTGCTGTTGAGACCATCTGGACAAAACACATGACTGAACCCAGTTAAAGCCTCTATATAAACTTGAATGATTCTGGCTGGCAGGTGTGGAAAAGTACTCATCGTGTCTGCCCAAACAAGCCTCAGAGTAAGTTCCCTTGCTTATTTAACCTGCTGTCTACCAATCTGAAGTGGTCTTTCTTTAGCACCACCTCGCCCTCTGTATATGGAGGCCAGTTTCAAATTTTAACCGAGGAAGCTCCCAAGTTTGCACACCAACACACTGGCACAATTTAATATAAGAGCTGCGATACTGCACTGATTACAAGGCTAGCATTGGGCGGATGGGGCCCTTTCAGGTTTGGAGATAAGCAAGTGTGGGACTGTAGCCCAACACAGGCAGTAGTAGACTCTACTTACTTATTTACTCAACAATTGGTTATTGAGCACCTACTATTATAATAAGCATAGTGATGGATATAACAATGATTTCAGATCAATTGTCCCTCAAAAGTTCAGTCTAATAAGAGAGATATGTCCATAAATAATATAACTATATGTCAAGGTAGCAAATGATAAGCACCATGAGACTTACAGCTAAAGTGCCATAGGAATTCAAAAGATAGGAATACAATTTCTTGCTGGAGGATCAGGTAAGACATTGTGGAGAACTTGAAGACACAATTCTGACCTGCTGTCCATTGGTACCTCTATCTCCTCCCAGTCTATCAGCTCTCTCCTTTTTTCAATACCCTACATATCTCCTTTAGACTCTTTGGACCATTAATGAAACAATACTCCTGCTAATGCCCTGGACCTGCCTACCCCTCTGGATTTTTCCTCTCCCCCACTCCATCATGTAAAAGCCAACACCAGATGAATCCAATGATCTACTCTCTCTGTATCTACACCTGGACAGTCAAATGTAGCTGTAGAGGACTACTCAGTTGCTGATGTAAAGCCTTCTCCATTCTCCTCAAACTACCATCTCCCACTCTGCCCTCACTCTCATAAGGTGACCCACTTCAATTTGCATCTTACAGAGAGAATAAAAAACAATCAAATGAGCATTGCCTCATCTACCTAAATCTAAAACTACACACGTGATCATTTATAGAACCTTCTCTCCTGTTCAAACACAGAAGCTATTGTAGGCTCTTCATATTTAAGATGAATCCTCCCACTTTTGTGACAGATTCCATCTCCTTCTCCCTTCTCAGGAATTTTACATCTTAATTCTCCATTAAATCGTATGTTCAAGCTCTCTCCCATTCTCTTTCCCTCTCTCCCCCTGCCATCAGCTTTTTTTTTTTTTTAAAGATTTTTTATTTATTTATCTGACAGAGAGAGATCACAAGCAGGCAGAGAGGCAGACAGAGAGAGAGGAGGAAGCAGGCTCCCTGCTGAGCAGAGAACCCGATGCGGGGCTCGATCCCAGGATCCTGAGATCATGACCTGAGCCCGCCGAGCCACCCAGGCGCCCCTGCCATCAGCTTTGTATCATGTTTAGATCCCTCCAGTTTTTTCTTTTTTTTAACCATCCTCAAGCCTATATCACACTTCAACCACTGTCCTCTCTCTCTCATCCAAAACACCCTAGAAGTTGTTAATACTTATCATCCAAATTTCTTCACTTACTGTTTACTCTTATACGATTTGGGACCCACTTCTGTCACTGCACCAAAAGAGCATTTGCTATGGTCACCAATGACCTCCACGTTGCTCTATTCCAAAGACATTTTTCAGTCATCCTTGTAATGACATCCCAGCACCATGTGAGAGATCCAATTCTCAGTTAGCCCCTCCCATCTGCTTCAAACACTTTCTTCTCTTGACTTCTCTTTCTCCTCCCTGTCCGGTCATCCCTTCTCTTTCTGTAAGTTCTTTTCTTACATTCATACTCTCCAGGCAATGTCGCCCACACAAATAGCTCAATTGCCAGCCCTACACACGTAACTTACATCTTTATTTAGCAAGCGTAGATCTTTCCCCTGGGCTCCAGACTTTTGTATCCAACTGGGCATTTGACCTCTCCCCAGTGGATGTTACAAAAATACCTCATACCTAACATGTCTGAAACCAAATAAATAATCTTTATCCCCAAGTCTGGTATTTTTTCAGAGCTTCCTATCTCAGGAAAAAGTAATTGAGCATCTATTGTGTGTCAGGTACTGTTTGTGCACTTATATATCAGGCAGAGTGAAAATATCCAGCCTCATAGATCCTACATTCTAGTAAAAACTACATCATGTCTCACCTGGTATGGTTTACCTACATCTAATCTTGCACTCCCTAATTTATTCTCCACACTCTAGCCCCAGTGAGAGACTGTATATCACTGGATGATGAGAAAAGGCAAAATAAAAATGATCCCCAAACTGAACTAATTCAGAAGATTGAGAGCCTGGAACCAGAGATGATCATGAGAAGCATAGACCCAGTGGCTTGGCAGAGATCTGGGGAGGGCTTTGGACTTTTGCGGGAGTATATGGAATTTCAAGTCCATTTTATTAAGATTTCAAAGGTCAAAGAGACCACAGCTGATATTTCAGCTGCATTAGCCTTTATCCTATTCTGCCTTCCTGTAGCATTTGACTTCACTAACACATAGGACAGTCTTGGGAATACTTCTACAGCTGCAAATGGCAAAAACTGTTTTAGAATAAAAAGATACCTGCTTCTGTAATCATAGCATAAATAATTTTAACTCAGTTGTGACGCTCTCTTTAAATGAAAATACCTCCCTTTTCTCATCAGTGTACACCTGGCATCTGGAGCAGCACTTGAGTACAATCAGAAGTGGATTATACCTGTTGAATAAATAAGTGAATTAAACTGCCTAAACAAAAATTGCTCTGTGCATCATTATGCAAATTACTACTACTTTTTAAATTGTATATGCCTTACGGAGTCCATTCTCAAGTCACGAAATTGAAAATGTATTTGGTAAACAAGTGGAAATGTTTCCC